ACCCAGTGGTGAAAGATAGAAGTGAACAAAATGTTTCCCGGTGGTTTCATTCTCAAGCGGTTACATTCATACTTACAATCACATTAGCATGGCAAGTACTACGAAGGTGAAATCAATTTTAGCAGCATTTTGAGTTGCAGATGGAAAGGGGGTCAGTGGACATGGAGATGGGAGGTGGGTGGGGGTGCAGAAAAACAGCGACAAATCGTGTGCGACACGTGAACAGATGAATCAATTTGGATTCAATTATTTGGAAATTGAAAGTTCACTGATCCAAATTATCGACGTATTCGGAGATGGAATCTGAAGAATGAATGAGGAACAGAATTACTTATAGAGAACCATTCCTGGCTCGTCAAAAACAACTGAGTCCATCCATATTATTCACAAACGTTCGTGGGAATAGTGAACCCACACAGACACACAGATGCACAAAATACGTGCATATTTGGAAACGTATATTGATGAATTTAACCTGAAATCAAAGAGAAGTATACCGGGATCAGACCGTGACTCCCGAATCTCTACTCCGCTTTGCGGAGTTTTCTGAGTGCTTGCCTATAGATACCGATCCAATCTGTTCCATCATTGCTAAACCAGTTTCACTTGCTACAACGTTTTTGCTTACGCGTGAATATCTGTGCCCCCGAACGACTTTTCGGTTTCCACATCCGTCCCACTTCATCTTAAACTAAAATTTGGCTGATTTATTTCCAATGGTGTTTATTCTCGTCACACCTCATCTCTGTTCTCATCTTGTTTATTGGTTTGTTTCATGAAATCGAATTCTTGCTTTTCCATTTTGTTATACTACTTTACTTTAAATTATATAAAAGCGTTGGTAACACGAATCTTGTTATGCAGTTAATGGAGTTTCATCGGGCTCAATTTTCTGCTTTCGTTTAGCAGTACACTGTTTTAAAATGTGGCTTCCCAACGCGTTCAATGTTCAGCTACTACGCTATGAAAATGGAGTGAGTCTACAACTGCCAACCATAATAATAAATAACTGCAAAATTAGGTTCCACATGACACGTCTATCGTTCAAAATCGTGCGTCTATACTCAGATAATGGATACAGGAAATACACGTGAACAACTACCTTCATTAGAATGGCTTTCCCATTCTCTGAGATATTATTACACAATCGTTCAGATTGTCAGATGGCTGTCTCCCATGACGTCTGTGAGTTGCTGTGGCTGACGATGATGATGTCGGTGATGATTCGCTTTAGTACACAGATTTTGTCCTTGTGTCTCCTTAGCCAAGGTAGTCTGATCAATGCGTGAACATACTACGATCAAGGATGCCCCATTTTCCGTGTTTGCAATTGGTCCCAATCAGATTTCCTCAGTTTCCATTCGGAGTGTGTACACAACTCGAGGTGTAAAACTGGCCGTGAATACGGACTGACACAAACTGACGACCGAAATGTATATCGCACGGGACTACCCAATAAGCCTTGGATCACAGTCCTGGCTCATAGTCTGTCAACGAGAACTCAAGGGTACATCAGAATATCGATGGCGTTATTCGTCATTCGTGGGGAAACAAGTTGTAATATCTTCCTTCTATGAGCATTCTATAGTCAGCTTTGATTCAGCTGTGTAGAGCTCATACGTTTTCCTTTCAATGTGTATAATCAGGTGTAACAATGTTTTAAAACTCGACGACGGTTAACAAAAAGGAGCATACCTGTTACCGAGCAATCTTCTAAAAGAAAATCTTCATGATCTGCAAAATAAAACGATAGGGACGACCGAATGATACGGGAAATTGACATGACCAAAAATTAGAACTATTGAAAAATTAGGTTTATCTTTATTCCAATTACGACAAAATAAAAGTAACACTTAGTTCAACCCCAAACTGACTGAGTTTGTGCAATGCGCGAATCGACCGTTTTAACGCTGACAAAATAAAATACACGGCGTCACTCTATACACAATCTAGTTGAATGGTCACGGGACAACGGTTACTGATGTTCTACTTTCAATTCATCGGAATATCCTGACACGCTATGTAACTATTTTCACCTACTCGCACGGTTCCATTAGATCCCTATTCGTGTATCCCGGTTTCGGAAAAGAGAATGACAGTGGAAACGGATTACGACGGTCTGTTGACCGTTTCTGGTGGTTGCGTAACTGCGTACATGTGAACGGATAGCATGTGTCACGGTCATCAACCACTTTCATCAGGATGGATGCAATTGAAAAGGAAAAAATCTATTTGGCTAGAGTGAACTTATTGACTGAGTCTCACAAAACTTCATCTTTGCGAACAATATTCTGTTCATTCCATGAG